TGCCCCCCTCCCCGCCCCCCCCCGCGCGCGCTAGTAAGACTGTAGTGAATATCAAATATCTTGCAAGGGTTTAGTTATAGATTCAAGATGCCGCAAATGATGTCCAACTACCTAGACTTACCTCACACACCGGTTTCCCTATCTTCACCATGCCATGCCCATCGGTAGCGCTAATTCTAAACCACATATTACGCGCCCCTTGGAGTGCACTCCCCCAGAAGATAATGTTGGCTGAAAATCAGTAACACAATAGAGTCACAGCAAAGCAACCAGGCCACTCTTCACAGCGTCGCTTATGGTTCAAGATCGCGCTCAAATCTCACTAGAGTTCCGTCATAACAAATTACATCGTTGTTTCAACTAAGATGTGTAAAGATCAAAAAAGGTGCATACCAGTACTCGCGCTTTACCAACATAATAGAAAGGATCATCGATCCTTGATGTTAGTTTTTTAATTATCTACGTTTCCCCAAGGACTCCTGAATGTATCGTGGTGTCCAGGGTTCCATGGCCAGACGCAATTTGCGGATTTCTTTCGACTGATGAAAACTTCGTATCCACGAGGTGAAACAACAAAGATGAAGTGAAGAACGTATCGCCTTGCAGTTTGCCCCTGGAAATGTCTTTCTGACTTCCAATGTTCTGTACGGGAAGTCTTGTGCTTGCCATAACGATCAGATACAGTCTATCAAAAGGATGTTGGGATTTGCTACAAATAGCGGGTATTAAGGATTTTGCGTAGAGGAAAAGTCACTGACTAACTTGTGCGGAGTCGAAAAGAAATATATGTACACAAAGCGAAAGTTGAAGGATAATTCTGGAGGCAAGTCGCGGATCATGCTTCCCCATCATGATCCTATCAAGTGTAAGATTTACACCCGATATTTGAAGCCATTGAAACCGCGTTCGAGACCCAAGAAATTCTATCCGGTCCTTGACGGCCCTGTAACAATAACCAGCACTTTGAATTCCAGCTTGTAGTTCCGTGTGTATTTCTAGTGTATTATCTCTATCTTCTTCTATATGAGATCAATATTCAGCCTACGAGGTACAAACAGATTCCGTCATATCACCCAGAAGAGGTATTCCAAATCTCACTCGCTCCTTCCTCTCCTCCCATCTCGCAATATGTGTAGTAAGTAGCCTTAAACAGCTGAGACCAGGAAGGAGCCTTCAAGAACTAAAGAGACGACCTAGACGATGATGATCTATGCAGGGAGAGCCTCATCTCCTTTGTGTTGAAGATTCACGCAACCGAGACGGCAGGGCGGGAACGAGTTAGGGTCATAGGACTACCTCGACTTTTTCAACACAGAGACTGAACGAGCATGACAAACCTAGAATCACCTATGTAGTGTTAGTATACCCCTTCCTCCTCTCGTTTACGCCCTCACTCATATCCCACAACTTTCTCTTAGTCACATCTACACTGTTCAATACCTAGGTATCATCAACCCCACTCCATCTCCAAAAAGAAATGTGAATCTCCGTCACGAACCCATTTCCCCATTTCCAATTTCCAGTCCCTATCCCAGAAAACCTACAAAAACCCCTACGACCAGAAAATTTAACAACATCAAGTAAAGTTACGTAGGTAGATACAGCACCTAGAGGATGAGAACGATATTTGACGACTACCTATGATTTAATATCTCGTCGAGAACTTGTAAGATGAAGTAAAAATTATCATCAAAGACAAATGTAACCTCATCCCAGATTTTAGGGAGCGGTGATTTTTGCTTTGTTTTTACCTTGGCATGGACATAGAAGAGAATGAACAAAAAACTGCGCGAGAATTGGAGATTCCATTTGACGGCAGTCAAAGGACTGATTCCTGCAAGGAAATCTGACTTATCACCAATACCGTCCCAGATAAGCTCAAGTATAAAGCGAAGAATTTTATACGATTAATAGGTCACCAAATAAAAGATGAAAAGGAAAAAAGAACGTGCTGCAACCCGAAGGGTTTCATACTTATTACCACCCGAGAAGTAAAGCAGTAGTATACACGGCCACTCGCAGAGCCTCTCCACGCAAACCCCATGTATGCTTGCTATTGAGACATGTAAAGAAAAGATTCTCGGATTTAACATTCCCTTCCATCTTACACCATCTCGCTCGTCACGTTCGAGAACTCGCCCTTCTCTAACTTCGTCTTCCAGAATATGGGATTGGTGTCGCTGAAACCGTGCTTGACCCATCCGTCTTCCTTTACATGATACAAGTTGATGAAACCTCCCGAATACGCATCTCTGTGAGTAGCGGCCAAAATACTTCTGCTGCCCAACTCCAAAGCCTCCTGCTCAGTCAAATCATATCTGTACTCTGCGTCCAACACACCGTATGCGAAGGTTTGACCAGATCCGACACAGAATAAGTTGCCAGCTAATCGTGTTCCGTCGGAATCGATGTAGTAGAGCGCGGGACCTTCGGATGGAGTGACACCGGCACACATAGTTCCCATAGACAACCCCATTCCCTTGTATGAGTAGACCAGATTTGCGAGGATCTTGGAAGCAGCAGCCACCGAAATTCGGCGTTTGTGACGGAGTTCGTGCAATCGACATTGCATTCCCAAGTATGCGAGCCAATATTGACAATCCTATTCCTTCGCATCAGCTTCGTATTCCAATTTCGTGCATTCCAAAGCCAAAAATGGAACAAGTAATCACTCACAGCAGCACCACCAGCCATCGTGCCCAGTAAACAGCTGTTGATCTCAATCACCTTCTTAACCGTTTGACTCGCAATCCAGTTTCCTGCTGTTGCTCTCGAATCTGTAGCTACAATAATCCCTCCTTGGAATCTGAATGCGAGTGTAGTGGTACCGTGTGCGATTTTGATGGGGCAGTTTGGATTGGCATGGTCGTCAGTTGCTGCGCGAAGCCAGGCTGAGGGCTAAATGGGAATACATGTTAGCATATCTTGTAGCTTGACTGAAGCGGAATTTTGGGGTTATCAGAAACATCCGGGTGATGGACAAGACGTACTTGAGCAACTGGCGGCATGGCGAACTTCAGGGATAGACTGGGTGCAGGTTGATAGAGCTCCATCTGGTCATCTTCGCCGTGGTTCTCCTTCTCGAACATAGGCTGGCTGTATTGTGCGACGAGAGTATCCATGATGGCGGTGTGTGAAAGGGTACTAGAAAGTGGAAGGCAATCAATTGGGATGAGGTTGAGAGACGAGGCGTAGATTACGAAGTGGATGGTGTTGTCGATACCAAGAGACCCTGTTGTTCTGCGGTTCCCACTCGGAGCTTCAGGCAGCTTGCCTTCGCGGCGTTCGTGTCAGACAGCGGCCTGGCGGCCTAATGCAGGTCCCATGTCACGTGTCAAGGGAGTACTTCAAGGCTCTTGGGCTGAATGGAAACCGCCCTCTATAGATATCATTTCTGTTCATCATTGAGAAGTAAACATCTCGTTCAATATATGAGGTTCTAAAATTTCAGACGAGACTTGGGTATGAAATTGTCAATAACCGGGTTTGATACATTAAATCGCCAGGTCTGCGCTGTTCCGTTTCCCTCATGCTTCATTCGACTCTACTTTACCACCAGCCTCAGGCCTGATTTGCAGCTTCAAATTCCACATCCTCTCTGATCCTATGAAGAGGAATCGGTAGTGACAATATGCGAGACCGTGGTGTTGAGGAACCAGCCCCCACTTCCAAACTTCGTCATCGTCTCTCAGCCTTGCACTAACGAAGCAGCCTCGCCAAATTTTCTATCATTGACTCACAACCCATTTTCCTTGAACTCATTCCAGGAGAAACTTTCATCAGCCACAGATGCATCAATAACCCAATTCCAGCAGACAAGATCATACGAAGCATGTTCAATACCTTTTCCACGACTCTCACAGGATTTTCTAAACGTCGAAGTCGCCGAATACGGAGGTAGAACCCCGCCTCTCCAAGCTGGCTTTTCTTATCCGTCGAGGTATAGCAGATCAGCTTTTCCAGATTTTCAAGACAATCGTCAAGATGGGGTCAAAGTCAAGTACAGAGAGTGTTGCGATCAAAACGCGCATTCTGCCGGTTAACACCAATGATTTGGGTGTTTTTAAAGACAAAGCCACCCTTGAAGAGTGGGAGGTCCCAACGAAGACGCAAAACCTCAAACCCCTCCAAGACGCAGCGAAGCAGCTTCAAAAGAGCAGTATTCCAGTTGGATTTCCAACAGAAACTGTTTATGGACTGGGAGCAGATGCCACGAGGAGCGATGCTGTCAAGGGGATTTACAAGGCCAAGGGAAGGCCGTCGGATAACCCGCTCATTATCCATGTCTGCGACCTCACCATGTTGCGAGGCCTTCTGGGGAAACCAGAATCTGGGAAGGATTCAATCCCTGAAATATACCGGGATCTGATCAAGAAGTTCTGGCCGGGTCCATTGACAATTCTTCTGCCCAATCCCACACCCAGGATTCTAGCACCGGAAGTTACTGCTGGGTTAGAGACCTTTGGAGCACGTATGCCAGACTCCCCTCTGGCTCTCTCACTCATCAAGTTGGCCGGTGTACCTCTCGCTGCTCCTTCTGCAAATGCCTCTACGAAGCCTTCCCCTACGACAGCCGAACACGTTCGCTATGATCTCGATGGAAAAATCGAGCTCATACTCGACGGTGGAGCATGCCAAGTTGGAGTAGAGAGTACTGTTGTCGACGGACTTTGCGATCCGCCTGTTTTGCTAAGGCCAGGAGGTCTAAGTATCGATCGAATCAAGGAATGTGCCGGCTGGGAAAACGTGGTCAAAGGATATAAAGACCAGAGCGAATTGGGCTCAAAAGCCCCACGCGCTCCTGGGATGAAGTACAAGCACTACAGTCCCAAGGCAAAAGTCGTTTTGTATGAAAGTTCATCACAGGAATCCTCCACTGGACTACCGTTGAAAGCTCGAAACGCAATTTTACAAGGGGAAATTGCATCGGATAGTTCAATTGGAAGCTCAACTCCTACAATCGGCATTGTCAGTACTCGTAATTGGGTAGATTGGGCGGGATTCGATCACGAAGAATCTGATGCGGACAAAGTCAGCCATGTCATCCTTTCAACGGACGAAGCACTTTTGGAGGGCACATCTGGTCCATTGAAATTTGGACAGCTCTTTTCCGGCCCCTCTACAAGGGCAACCCGAACCCCCAAAAAACATGAAGTTGCCATCCTGATTGGGATATCTCTGGGGAGTGATACTAAGGATATCGCGCACGGACTATTTTCTGCACTGAGAGAACTAGACAAGAGAAATGTCGATGTCATCTACGTGGAAGGTATCGATGATGAAGGGAATATTGCGGCAGCAGTTATGAATAGACTCCGCAAGGCAGCTTCTGTCATTGAGAAACCATAGATCATCACTCGTAGACCATAATATCGGATCTGGCGGAAATAGAATATATGCACATTTTCCAATTACGTTTCGCAAAATCGTGTCGAACGTGAAGTCTCGTTAAATTCATCTCCATGCCAGGAGAGCCTCCGGGAAAAACGCTGTGCTGTACCTGAACTCCAAATTCTATCAGGCCCCCATTTTGATATTCTCCCCGTCCTTCTCACAGCTTCTCTGCCCGCGTGGCTATCCCCATGACTTCTTCCAATCCCACAGCAGAAAACTCAATTCCTGTCTCCTCCCCTAACATGCAAAGCTGTAACAACAAACATTTCCCTAGACCTGCGCCCTCACAAACCCTGTCTCAACCAATCCCCCAATTTCGCCTTTCCAAACTGCGCCAGATTGTTCATTCCCTGCTCGCTCAAATCGATGCTCTTCAGCTGTGTGACGTCCTGCGTGGGGGCTTTGCTGACTCGCTGGACGATAATCGTGGGGTCGGTTTCGAGGATGATTCCATCGTCGACCATCTCGTCAATGGCGAGGGAGACGAGGTCGTAGTTTTCGATTATGGTTCGTTTGTCGACGGATTGTCTATTTCCCATATTAGAATTTCGCCAGCCTCCGTTTGTGACAGGTTACTCTGGGGGGAATATGGGGGGGGATAATTTGGGAAAGAAACGTACTTGAATAACAGATGTAAACTATCCCTCAAACACAGAATGACGTTGTATAACATAATCTCGTTCTCGTCCACTCCTCCGACGATGTACATCATGACGTCGCTCTCGCTCTTGTACAGGACGATCCGGTTATCGTACAGGATGATGTCGGCGGTTTGCTTTGCGGTCTTCTCTAGGAGGCCTTTTTCAAAGGCTTTTTGCGATTTGACGTCTGCGTATGGAGAGGCTTGTGGACCTGGATCTGTAATTTTGTCAATATTACAATTCCAATCTCAATTTTGTTTCTGGGATATGCGTGCTGCGGGCGGGAGGAACTAAACGTACGTCCGGTGGTTTGGTGATGTGGTGCGTTGAAGTACTTTGCGAAGACCCGCGACCCGTCGTCCGAGTTGAGGATTATGATCGCGTTGATCGAGAAGAGGGACATGCCGGGTGCCATGATTGCGGTGTTGGTGTTGTTTGTTGGGGAGTGGAGGGAGTTGTGGTATTGGGATTGAGTGCTGCTGTGTGAGTGAGTGAGTTAGTAGGTAGCTTCGAGCTTGAGGGGTCCCATGTGGAAGGAGGGAAGGTGGCTTTTGGCCTGGGATTTGAGGCTGTCGATATGTACTAACGAACGTCAACGTATGGCCTCTGAGAAACACCAATATATCTCTCGAACCTTGCGATGTTCGATTTTTTGGCGATGTCTTGATTTCTTGATTCAGAAGTTTCATGTATTTTCTGGTCTTTTTGACCTTGGCGGAGCAGAGATCTTGTTATTGTGATCATAACATTGTTCTTAACATTATAACGTTTATAAACAGAAGTAACCAAGTTAGTATAAGCTCAATTGTCTCTGTAACTTGCTCAATCAACTCCAAATCTCCCAGTTCCGATTTCAAGTAATTGAAATTACGGCAAAGTTTGTCGTTGTTTTGAGTATTTGGATTAATTGAACTTGAATGGTCCGAGTTCTGGGGATAAAGAAAGGTCTAAGAAGGTTTGGAAGGTTGTTTTAATTAATCTAATATGCCATAATAGCATTGTTGTATGCCTGGATATATGGGGTAGCATCCTCTTGAAGCAGAAGTGGACTCTTTCTGGGTGACGTTCAGGAGTTACGAGGCTTTTCTTCAAATTGATATGGCACCACCATTAAAGTCTGTTGAAGTGTGTTAAAGAAGCAAAACGGGTTCTTTTAGTCCAGTTAGTGGAAGGCTACCTATAGCATATTTATTGCCTTCTCAGTTTGGTCTTGGCCCGTGAAAACTATCAATATCTTCCTTCTATCTATCTATCTTTCTTAACTTGCAGAGCTATTATGCCCGAAATATATCTAGCAGATGTACACCTTTCTACAAGTGTATACTCTCTAAGCATATCGTAGAGGATGTTAATTTAACTCTTGATAGAGCTTCTTAAGACCTACATATTGAACGTTAGAAACTTTTGACCTTGTTGGTGGAACCAGTGGAGCAGGTTGAGTATTTTTCTCTCCATTATCTTGCTAACATCTGATTCATCGCATCAAATCCAGGGCATGTAAAGAATACCAGATAGAGATTGAAGATACGTAGATATCGGAACAGGTATCCATGCTATGGCGGTCCCCAATGAACTTGTGTTGTTCCCACAAAAAGCTTTTCAATGGAGGATATAATCCCTGGATACTAGGAGAAGCCATCAGGAGTAATGTTTGGAGCGTTCCAAGGTTTCGGCGTGGTCGCTTGACTATAGGCACTACACCAGAAGCCCCCGTATTGAAGCTCGTTTCTCCTATAGCCAATGCCATAGTATGAGAAGCCCTCCCATTCTCGCTGTTAAAGAGTATTTTCCCATTCTAAGTACTTTCGTGGGGTTAGGCTACTACATTTATTTTTCACCTTTAGACCTGCGAGAGCGCTTCGAGGTTGCCTGGATGCTGTTATAAGATGCTTTCCACGAATGCCTAGTGGTCTATGGGGCCAGGAGCATCGATGCATTTGCTCAGCTCGAGATTTGATTCATGTATACATGATAGAAGGCCTGGTTACCAACGTTCGAAGTGAGTTGAGTTGAGTTGAGTAGTGGTACCTATTCAACTTAACTCAAGTAGTATTTAGACCTACTTAGTACTTAACTTAACTCGCTAAGTACTCGAGTTGAGTTGAGTACTACTTGAGTAGTACTGAGTGAGTCGTGCCGAGTATCGGGCGACCTGTCCGACCATTCGGATTCAGCCCGCCCCCCTATATACTATATTTATAAGGTAATAATAGGCGTAACCCCCTATAAGTTACTATTTATAATATACTATTTGAGTACTTGAGGACTACTTAAGTAGTCGAATTTACTACTTAACTCAACTCAACCAAATCTACTACTCATACTCATCTCAACTCAACTTGAGAGACTCTGAGTCATACCCGAGTTGTTGAGTAGTTCTTCGAGCGCTGCTGGTGGCTACAGAATAGTCAAAAGACGTTTCACCTGATCAATTATCGCCATGATTCTTCTCGTGATAGAGCCGCGCCACTTGTGAGGGAGAGAGATACATGATCATAATTGATTAGCAGCCACATTTTTATGCTCTTTAAGAATGGTATGCCAAGTGTAGTAGTTTTCATAAAAGTTTATCATGAACATAAGAAACAATCTGATTATTACGTAAACAACATATTTGTTTCACTATAAAAATGATTCACGAAGTTCTTTTCAATTATGTTCATTAGTATCATCCAACAAAATCTAGAGAGCATTACTATTCTGAGACACACTGTGGTAATAAATCAATTAACGTATTCCTAGAAAACTAGTTGGGGACCACAGGATTCAATTACAATTCATAGTTTGAGTAGATATGATAATTGCTTAAAGCCTTCTGTTACTAGGTAGTCTCGTGTTAAAGCTCATGTACGCGGAGAAACACATACGCATTTCACTAGCACTCCAGATGTTGTAAAAAGGTGGAAGTAAATTCCGAAAATAACTATCATATGCTCATCAAACTCCAAATGGCAAAGGTCCGTCTCAAGTACTCCAAAGGCCAACGCTTCCTCACAACCGTAATAGTTTAAGAAACATACCGAAAGTCGGGATGTCTGTATCCCAACTTGATCTTCTCATCATCATCCAAGCCCTCCAACCTACTTGCTCTGTCTCCCCTATCTCTCTTCTTATTCTCCCACTTTGTATACACAACCCCCGCCACAGCCAAACAAGCCGCCACAATATTAGCACCAACGTTGATCCAATGTCCACGATGGTATGTCGGTCTATCCTTCTCCAGATACGTCCAAGTGGCAACAATTGCACCGCAACTTCCCACAGAAACGATATACGCACTAGTAACAGCTCTCACACTCGGTCCAGCCGCATTATTCAACCCCCATGCTAACCATGTCGGACCGCCGGGGAATGCACCAGCGGAAGCGAGGAAGACAGCGCCGTACTTGACTGAGTTTGAGGTGGTTGTAGCGAGCATTACGTAGCCTACTATCGCCAATACCGCACCGACGACTAGGAAGACACCACGACGGTTGAATTTATCGCTTAGACGGAACATGAGAATGGACCAAATACATGCAATCACATAGGGAGGCACGGAGTAAAACTGGGTTTTTAAGGCTGTCCAACCGAGCGCGGAGAGGATAGAGGGAAGGAAGAGGGAGAATGATTGCACCGAGATGTTGATGGCGAAGAATCCTAACCCGCAGATTATGTTGTTGATGTTGAAGATTGCGCGATGCACATGTTTGGCTTGCGTGGCTTCCATGGCGGATTCTTTATGCTCCTTGTTTATACGCTCGAGTGCTATGTATTGATCCCGAGGTGTGAGGAATTTGCATTGATCGGGTCGAGAAGGGAGGACAAAGAATGCAAACGAGGATACGAGGAGGGTGAAGAGTCCTTCAAAGAAGAAGATATTGCGCCAGCTGTGGATGGGTGTTGATGCTACACCCCATGATGGAATAGATGAGAGACCTGCCGCGAGCAGACCGCCGAAAGCACCGGCGAGTGTGGTGCCTTGGATGAAGAGACCGAGGCGGAAAAGGAGTTCGTTACGTTTGTAGAAGCAAGAAAGATAGTAGGAAATTCCCGGCACTGGAATATGTTAGCATACATTCTCCTGCTGATTCAACAGTGGGGCGTATATAGTGAGTGTGGAACTTGCTGCAGACCACCAAGAACAGAGGTCTAAGGAAAGGGAATAAAGATAAATGTTGCATACTGGTACCGCCTTCTGCGAGACCGAGCATGAAACGACATGCGAGAAGACCTTCATAGTTTTTGACAAATGCTGTACACATGGAGATCAGGCCGAATGTGACGACGAGCGAGGGTAGATAGTATCTTCCTCCCACCTTTTTGAGAATGATGTTCGAGGGGATTTCGGCTAATATGTACGAGATGTAAAAGATTGTGAGGGCCCAATTGAATCGGTAACCTCCGAGCTTAAGGTCAACTGCCATTCCTTGAATACGGGCATTTCTGTTGCGTTTGTTAGTTACTCTGTTCTGAAAGCCCTCATTGAGTCCGGTTTTGATCTTGATTGCGGGAAACCCTATTAAAAATTCCAAATCACAGAACTTGATCGTTTCAAGTTCCCATTCCAAGCACCGGAGCGAATAGTGCGGCTGAATTGGGGGTTCCAACTTACCCGATGTTTGCCCTACAATAGATTAGTATAGGTCTTATCGTACTCCAGAGATTACTGACCTATCAATGAAGCACATCAAATACAACACAAAGACCGTTGGAACAATTCTCCAATCCATCCGCTGTCGAATTCTCCTCTCGTCCTCATCAGTCCATTCTCTCGACAAAGAGTCTTCATCTGAATCTACTTTCGCAATGGCTGGTGCTATCACAGCCTGCTTCTCTTGATCCGCCATCTTGGCTCACAAAAAGACAGCAGATTCCTCAAAGACGCCGAAGTTTTAGGAGCAGAGTGAAAGAGGCGGAAGGTAGCTCCCGAATAATTGGAGGGGGGATGAGGTGAGATATTTGTATGGATTGTGTATTATGTACAAGAAAACAAATGGACCTAACTAGGATATTTGAATTTTATCCCATCCTCGGCGACGAGCCGATGCGCATCATCAAGGTCAATACCAGAGAATTCAGACTTTGAGTTCTGCATACCCATAAACTTACGAAGCGGCCAACAAGAAGCAAGCCACGAATGCCCTCGGGAACCCTTCTGGGTGAATGAAGGCACTCACTCACCAATGACTATCATTTAGCCAAGCAGATGGCTTCCTCCAGTCCACCTTGGCCATGCGGGGAGAACGCGGGGAGAACTTTTTGGTTGATCTACCAGTGAAAGAAGAGCATGCGGACTACGTGGGGCCTTGGTCCCACCAAGATCTTGGGGAAAGAAAGACGGAAGCGAGGTTGGGCCGAATGACCATAAATCATCAAGTTATTGGATGATTCGTATTGGTCGCCGTTTATTGATAGCCAATTGGGTTGGAGAGACTGTGGCGACGAGTTTGAGTTTAAGCGGGGATGGTAATTTTTACCATGCGGGTAAATGCTTTCGGCAGTTCATTTTCAAGCGAGCCCTTGGAACATGGTCATGTGATTTACCCCCTTGTCCGTTTGCATGCAGAAAGAATGGAGGTTAATAATCAAAACTACTATGAATCAGCATCATGCAAACCTTTGGAGAATTTGCCGGATTACAATCAATAAGGTTCTGCGACGATGAGGTTTAAAGTATAACGAAGTTATACTTCGTCCTAGGCATAATAAACGTTAAATTCCCTGGTATAGAAGGGAATTTCAGTGGGGTACAAGGTAAATACCAGTAATCCACTAAACTTTGGCGTTGAATAGGCCTGAGATCAAGTACCAGGCAGACGCACGAAGTGGACGAATACAAAGGTACCCGGCATGAACCAACATAATTTTGGGATGACGCTCAGAATCCAAAAGAATGATACCAAAAAAGCAAGCAATACGTGCAATTCCCGTAACGGGTAACTGCACGAGTGCATGTACAAAGTCCTGCAATTGCAGTGTCCCTGAAATGGAAGCGAGAACAGATAGGCAGGTTGCATATGTTTCATCGAACGCGTTTGCTGCCATAGATGCAATGAGTTCAAAATGCTGCTGTCTTCCCTCTGAAGCTGGACCTGGTGTGCGGCAGCCAATTCAGTTTGCTCTTCAACAATTTGGAAGCTCCATACTTTCGCAGCCTCGACAGTCACTCGCTTGAGTCGTGGCGATCCAATATGGCAAAGAAGAAGAGGAGCAGAGGAACCAACAACAGTGAAGTAACGAAATGGGAACCTCTGGTTGGTAGCATATACTGATGTCAAAAGCAGAGGAACATCGTGAGAGAGTGGAAGGAATACTTCGGCAACGAGTCCAACCTTCAGAATTGGCAACGGCTCTGCGGAGATCTGGATATCGTCGGTGATTTGAGCAGCAAAACAAAATGTAAAAAGGCACGTCTAAAACTTCCGAAGAAGATTCATACTCTGTACTCCAGGATGTTTCCGTCAACAGACACATAAATCCAGGCTGACTAGGAGCACAGGCACTGGAAGGCATCTGGGTCAACATCTGGGATTTCTTGGATGATGTCAAAAGTGGAGTTCCAGTTCGGAAGTTTCGTTCTCAAGCCTCTCTCGCGGAGTATACGATCTCTACCCAACGAATCTATCCAAAGAAGGAGGCAAAAAAGCAAGGCCCAGTGAGAGCACTTCTGGCGCATATATTCTGATGATTGCTGTGGATCTTCAGGTGCCATGAGGAAGTGCCAAAAGGTCGCCATTTCAAGTTGGGAGTGAGTGTCCAGAATGACGACGAGGGCGAGGACGTAGATTGCAAGAGTTCATCGTGTCAGGGCCTTCAGAACATGAGCCTACAAGATCATGGTTCTCGCTCGCTATTGTTACCGCTTGAATAACGATGGGAACGACTGCTAGGCACCAAATAGTTGTGGAAATAGAGAAATGAAGCCCACATACGAATAACACGCATACATACCCTCAAAAAGCACGGCAACCTCCGAACACACCTTTTCCGTAAGCCAGTGTATTGTCCCTCACCGCACATTGCCAAAGATTGGGGCCTAGTCAAGTCGTCTTTTGTTTTTGTCCGTAATTATTGCGTAGATTGTGGAATCGGTATAGTTCGACCTCTACTAGCAGTACCACTTAGTATTCGGCTTGAGCAGACATGTTGATATATATTTCAAGCGTCGCATGCTGTGGTGAGAAAATGAAGTTACTCGAGCAGTGGTGATTATTGCCAACTACATCGGCGGTTGGACTTTTCTTGGCGAGATCTGCAAGCATCATCACATACAGTAAAGCTTACCTGGTATCAACTTCAGCCCCATACACTGGGCGGGTTTATATGGTTGTAACCAATGTTTATTAGATTCACCAATCAGTTGCATATAACTTGTGAAGGGACTTCGATTGCGCGATTTTAGTAATGGATCATCATGGATTACGGTACTCGAGTAGAGGACTTCGACAGATACATATCTTCCGAACCGGATCTGTGTTACTTGTTCTCTTAGCGAATGCACTGTAAGTTAGCAACATGCGTGAAGTCGGAATAGCTTTAAATATGTATAGAGCCTGACTCAATTGAGCACTAAGTTGTAGGTTAACTTGCGAGCTGAGCGTAGAGTAATACTTCACACGGCCCCATCCTACTGTATCCCCACAAGTTATTTATTTAAATTTGGCACGGGTATTGCACGGCTTTTGTCCACATCTTGGAAAGAACTCAACCACTAAATAACTTATAACGGTCGGCGACAAAATCCATTTACTACATTCCCTGCAGCATCATATCCGTCTTTCAAAGTCTCCACGTGTACGCCGTGAACCTTTTCCGCATTTTGTTATCCATAATGGTTTGGCCAAAATGGTAACGTGTTTGAAAAGAAAAAAAATGTCGCCTGGACCCGCTTTCTGTCATCATTCTGGTGACCATGGACCTTCAATCACTCGCATTTTGATTAGTGCTTCTCAAAGATGGCTCAGACGACAAACTTACGAAGTACCCCTAGGTAATCTCTTCTCCATTGGCAGATGTTCAATACCTTATTCTTAAAGGTGGTTGCTTGATGTTCAGTCACTGGATCCAAGCTGTGTGAGATATGTCGAATTCATACCGAGTATCTTCGAATTTAGAGATGATTGCCGATTTGAATTCATTTTGAGGGGAGGATTGCGACGATGGTGATCGGTTGATAGCGGATATCAAATACTCGAGAAACCCGAGTCCACTGGCCTCGATACTTTGATAGAGCAATCAGGACAGTCGCGTATTCGACATGAGTTGAACTTTGTTCGTTTTGCGTAAGTCAGGATCGTATAATCTTGTCTGCTTATCAAGACTCACTGACCAGTGACGAATGTAATACTTTCACAGCCATATCAAGCCAACAGTAAGTTTACCATACATTTTCTCGCTGGCAGGTTGGCTGATCCGGGAATCTTAAGTATATATGCGTACTGCAAGCGTATTAGCTCCGAGTTTGATGCTCAAGAATCAGACTTCCAAATATCCACAAGATTTCAAGGTTGCTTTTGAAATACCAAAAATTTGGTAGTATCATCATTTAGAATCAGCATTGCAGATGATAATCAACCGCTAATTTTCCTAAAGCTTTAGCGTCACATGAGTAGCCTTGAAGATCGTAACGACACTATTGCTATTCTAAAAGTCTTCTGCAGGTCATTGATATCACCCTATTGCCAACTCCTAATCACCCACCTCTTGAAGCATATCCAAGTCGAGCAGCTTTCTCCCCAAGATGATGTTGAGACATGTGAGAAGGCTTTTTGGGACCATAGTTCCTGGTAATGCCATGCCACTTTCGAACCGCCGATCCTTTATTGGCTCCCTTCTTTGCCCATTTCGGTACTCGCCTCCTTGACTGCCAGTGTCTACTGTCTAGGCAACATTGTATATATCGAAGTTTCTACGCTAACCAAATACACAGTCACAAGAGGTTCGTAATATTATCGGACATATTTCAAAATGGTCGGATTTGGTTATACTGTTTTTGTATTTTTGTTTTTCAAGTGTCTTTTTATGTTTTTGTTCTTGTGTCCCATACATATGAGCAATATGGCAGAAATCCCCCACAATATCCGAATACAAGGAAACAATCACCATATTTTTCGCACCTGCCCGTCGCCATATCCCATGGCAAAATACATGTTCACACATATTCCCTTCACAATCTCAAATTCCCATAACAAATAGTAAAAAATGTACCACCAAATTCCGATGACAAATACCCAGGTACAAAAGGTCTTTTCGCACTCGTTGTAGTTCCCCATTGTCCATCTAATCTATAGTCTGAAAAGTATCTATACAACCTATTCTTCGCATGAGCATCCCCTCTAATACCAACTCACCGAGCTTTCTATCGGGTACTCCCTGATGCTTGCGAAGGTTTCATCCCAAACTGTTCCATTGAAAATGATGGCCGAGATGGAGATACTGCGGCGCGTTTAGTTCTGTCCCCATAACGCACATAACAATAACCCTAGGTACAACAAACTCAATTTTTGAAGGAAAAGAAGAAGAAGAAGAAGAAGAAGAAGAAGAAGAAGAAAGAAAAAACAGAAAAAGGAAAAGAAATGTAAAGAAACAAACAAAACAGGAAACAGAGCACCATTCTTGAGTGTATGTATAGTACAGCACATCATAATTCCTCGACTCTAGGATCGTGTCGATTCGCGCTGCTCGAACACTACTACTCACTCATCTCACGCTGAGCACGTTCAAAGGCCTTTCGAGCTGCAACACGATCAGGCTTCTCGTATTCTGGTGTTGGACGACGAGGATATCGAGTACGAGGGGTCGGTGCTGGGGGTTGGTAGTTGGTAGTTCGCTGGCTGACCCATCGTCCCCGCTCTGGATTTCTGGTGATGTCTGCCGGAAGAGGAGTACCTGGCGCTGGTGTTGGTCGATTGGATGACCGATTGGCTGGTCCCCTAGATGATGCAACTTGCTTAGAAGAGCCAACCTGCTTGCTTGACGAAGCTTGCTTGGTGGATGCAACTTGCTTTTGCTTAGGTGGTGCCACTCGCTTTGGCGCTAATACTCGTCTATGGTTTTCGAGAGGTTCTGAGGTATGGACTCGAGCTCTCTTGTTCTCACGGACTTCATCCTCGGATTCATCATCGTCGGAATCGGGATAACCTCTCGCCTTGCGCTTTTTATTGTTGACTAGTTGCTCGAGGGCAGCCTTTCTCTCAGCGTGTGCAGATTCCTCATCCTGACTCGATGGTGTAAGACGAGAATTTGGGGTTGATGTTTGACCGGTTTGCTTGTTCTTGTCCTTGCCCAATGGTGCATTGTGCTCAATCGAATTCACGACTTTGCTCTTCTCATCTTCAGACTCGGAGATTTCTCCCTCCTCCTTCTCCGGGTTTGCATCATCTCCATCTGAGCCCATGACAATGTCACCCTCCTCATCACATTTGGACATCTCTCCTTCCTCCTTAATAGAGACCTTCCCGTTGTTTGATGTCGAATTTGCGCTGTCATCCTGGGTAGATTTGATGATCTGCACTTTCTCGTCAGCCCCTGATGACGCCTTGCTCTCATCTGAGTTTGAGAGTCCAGCGGTAAAGCCGAGCTTGGGTTTCGTATATGGACTTGCCTCCCCAATGATAACATCGCGAAATCTGCGTTTGTTTATTCTTGAAGAGGCTTTGAGGAAACCTTTGGTTTGCTTGTTAATGGCAAAAACTTTGGGAACGGCAAAGTCTGTAGTGAGAGGGCTGACGGGGGGTGATATGTGTCTGGCTCTGCTTTCGACCTTTTCATAGTATTCCTTTATGTGTTGAGGCATTGAGCCATCGTCATCAGATTCTGAGTCGGACTCCCAGATTGGCTTCTGAGAGTCGAACTTCTTTGACTTAGAGGCTGCCTTGTGTGGCTGCGCCTTAACCCCAGTAGTCTTGCCGGTGGCAGTAGTCGAAGTGGTATGGTTGTCAACCTTTAGCTTCTTCTTCGCGGGAACTGATTTAGGTTGGGGTTCCAAGGGGTCTAGATCTGCCTTGCGCTTCTTCGATGTCGGTGTAATCTCCTTTGGAGAAACCTTGGTGATGCCTTTATTGGTATTGGTAGTAGGACGAGCCTTCCCGGGAGCAACGTCACTACCTTTGATCTCGGCAGATTTCTTGGTCATAGGAGTGATGGCAGTGTCGGCATTCTCGGGAGCAGCACTGTGTTTAGTGTTTGGGGACTTCTTGGTCATGCTTTTGCTAGTTGCATCGGTGTCGGCCTTTTCGGAGGCATCTCTAACCTTTGGAGAACTCTGGAGGGTGGCAGCCGCGAAGGGGGTGACGTTTTGAAGAGTATCAATATCGCCTCCAAGCTTGAGCTCAACTATCAGTTTGATGTCAGTCGTGGTTTCATAACTGAGGAAGATGATTGATAAGTCTTGGTGACAACTTACTGCTTGATTGCTTGTTATCGGCACTGCTGCTGAGAACAGATTCTCGCTTATCGATAACCTCGCCAGGAGTCTTTACTTGATTGGCTTCTGTTATTTATATGTTAGCAACGAGTGCCACGGTGAACGACAACCAGAGTAAGTCAAGTATAGAAAGAGCAAGAATGGAGACTAACTCTGAGGTGTGATCTCAGTCTTTGGGGAGACGGCTTCATCAATCTGCATCCGCTGGTGCTTTGGTTGGTCTCTACATCAGTTGGCGAAACATCTTCAGAAGTGCTGCGAGGGTGTTGAGGAATAGGTAATCGAGTTCTAGGAGAGACGCAGGGTGAAGGCGGCGTTCTCTTTGGTGGCCGTGTGAAAAGGTCCTCAAATTCCTCCGCGTTCGCGAAGGGGTTTGGGTATGGGCTTCTCCCCGGAGTACCTGGTGGCCGGATATCAGCATATAGTAGAAAGCGACAGACAACAGTTGTGTGCGGAAGGTTAGACCCGAACTGATGGTTGAATAGTAGATTGTTTGGACGACCATATCATGACGCTTGAATCTCTATGTTTCTTGTAAATCTACAATTTTCAGACTGCCAGTCCGAAAAGGCTTTTTGATTGGAGAGAAATTTTTCACAGATGCTTTTGATGCATCTCAATCGTGGGTATGTGAGCAGGAATACTATGTGAGCAGGAATAATTACCTAGTGTCAGTGAATCATGTTGACTTATCTGTATTCACCAACGAGTCGAGCCATACCCTCTGCGGACCTCCAGAACAACACCATACCACCAGCCACCAATTCAGAAATTCCATCGCCACGTCAAAAGAAAAAACGTTCAAGAACCAGAATAAAAAATTCTAAAAAAAACGCCTCGGGTAATGACTAGGCGCCGACTGTACTCTGCATCTTCAAGATGAATTGAAGAAGTTGGTTCATCTCGCAAATCAGTCGCGCAGCTCGATCCGTGATCCATTGGGCCACGAACGTACTTTTTGAATTAGCGGAATCTGATTGCTGGCAGTGGTTGACTTATTGATGGTTATAGACCTAAGCTGGATAGAAGTGGGGCTTTGTTGTTTGGGGGGAGACGCCATGGTCCGTGCTGTGGCTTCAGTGCTGTCGCTGCGGAGGCTTAGGGCCTGTTCATACAGTATTCATAGCCAGTCTCAATTAACCAAAATCGACGCTCTTTTCTTCCATTGTGTTAGCCTTGACTATGCGGCTGCATTACCTCTGAAAGTGATGGGAAATTTAGTGATAGTTTTGCATGATTGATCTCATCAATTCTATGGGACGTTCTTATACTTGATCCAGTAACTTTGCGTTGCATTGTGTTGCAGAAAAAGTGTCTTCGGTGGGAAAACTTGCGTGCCAGCTGCTGCACCCGTTTGATGTGGTTTTCGATAAACGCTATCATGGAACATGCGAATGTTGCAAGACAGATTATGATTCTCTCACAGATCTATCTAGTTAACCCTGATTCAAAAATTCTCCAAGCATTACGTAGTAGTGTTCCCATCCTTATATCCCACAGCTTATTCCCATTTCCATCTCAAGTCCACAGATCTTCTTATACCTACTCCATGTTAATCAGTGGCTCTTCTCTTAGGTATTGAGATCTTCTCAAATGAACGCTACGGGCGAATGACATTTAACCTTATCGCACAAAGTCTCTCCAGCATAAAACGCAGAGTCATTTCCGACATTTAGACTTCCAAGTCGAAAGATTTGTTGAACCGCCTCAGCATGAGGATCAATGAGATGATGCGCTCAGTAAAATCTTCTTTCGCGTCACTTTAGGTGTGCTGCAAACATACATGAGTAAGATTTGAGGCCCACCAATACATCATGAGAGTGGCATTCCCGAGCGAAGGATGGGGTTTTTATCTGCGGTGACGCCATTCGGCATCAGATTTACGTTAGCACTACCTGGCAAGCAGTTGACAGGTTTGTGATTTTGTCAGCGACTCTTCTTATCATAACAACAAGCTTGATTAGCGGTATTTCTGTCGCTGTCTCAATGAATATCGCTACGTAGTGAGATTGCAAAAAGTAGTTAAGTGGCTGACGGCCACAATATTACGTCGAAGTCAGTTCAGGGCTTTCAAAAATTTTCTCTACTACAATCGCGAATGGGATGTTGTAAATGTTAGTGAGCACGGTGAGGTGAGATTTGCCAGAAGCACATCTCAATTGGATGGCTCACTAAGCGAGTGCTTCACTCAGGGGTACCATCACGTGATGAGAGACCGTGCCTAGGTGAAGGTAAAATGGTGTGCAGCCCCAAAAGTGAGGTCAAATTCGTAAGCAATGATGTTCAATTTACGGACCTAGCTATGATTCTCACATTTGATTTCAAGATGGCAGTATATATATCATGTATTTTTGTAGATTCTGAGAAGGTAGTAACTAATCCAATTACTTTGGACCTCTTAATGCGGCATCGTGACTTTCGAACATGTATTAGACTATCAGTCAAACTTGATTACAAAATAACCGTCAGTACGATGGAAATGGCTTGGATACCTCAGCAGAAAACCACAATTCAAGTTCATCTAAATTGAACTTGTGGGACAAGGTACTAGAATTGATCATCCATATACTAATCGAGTCTAATTTAGTCTATTAGCCCCAGTACAGGAAACAACATCCTAAGACAACCTCAAGGAAGGTTCAAGTTTCTGACTCGGTCAGGGAGCACCCATGTTCGCGAAGTGATGTTTTGTGAACGAACTTCAGCAACTACGCTCCAAACCGAATGAAAACACCCCTTGCAAGCTGCGCCGTGCGAGCCCTGCTTTTGCCATAGGTTGAATCGTGCTCCCATAATCTTCTCCCGACATTCCCAGGTGACGAACTTGCTAGTGTGAGTATCGAGGACCATGAGATGTTCTGGATCAATCCAGTCTCTCAATAAACTGCATAGTTGCTTGCCTTGGTAGCGTGGTTGGTAGAGAGGAACAGTGGTTATGACATTCTTGTGGACATGATAGAGAGCTTTGCAGGTGAGCGCGAGACATACGACTTCTTGGGGAGTGATATTTTCGGCGATGATCTTTTGAAGTTCCACTGGAAGCTTGATGATATGTCCTTTTGGTCCCATGTCGAGGTTCGTGGCAGGTTGGGGTTGATCTTCGGCGCTGGCTTTGTTGTGGTCCTTCTGGACGGCGGAAGTGGCAGAGGCTGAAGGGGCTATAGTCAAGGTACCAGTCGAGTGACGCGTTTCGGACGAACTTGAAAGATATGGAGGGCGTTTGACACTGCCGAAATTTGTTTCTGGTACTGCACAGTTTTCCAAAGTCTGGAAATGGTTGTCTAACATAGGATCGATGGATCCGTATGTCCTGTTTTCAGTAAGGCGAGCTGCAGTTGAGTCTGAGAGGGCCATCGATATATCTTGTCGCCAAAAATGGGAAGGACCAAATCTCTATCTCACGCGGGAGGAAACTTCTTGATTGAGACGAGAAGAAATTTGGCCTGTGTAGGATGAGAAGGGACTCGAGCTCTGGAATTTCTAATGGCGGCAAACGCGATAATTCTCTGTGCGCTTGACTTAGCAGACTGGACGTGAATTGTTGGTAGGTGATTCGTTCCTCTCTGGGGCCCACTGACGGTATGGTGCTTCTGAGGAGACTTCCTATTGTCACGGAGACAATCTTAAGATAATCTGCTCAGGGCCCCACAGAGGTTCGCTTAAAATAGCGCAACTCCGAATATCGCACCACGTGCCCACCTACATGAAGCTTTGATAACGTCCTAGATGTTGACTTCATAGAATTTCAGGCCAATAGCGAACGTGCGCAAGGATCTTGGGTAATATGGATCAGTGAATATCAAGTATCTACATTGTGCGCAGATAAACTTGGGTTGAAACGCTCGCTATCTTTCTCTCAAAGTGGCATAAATTATAGTGAATTTTAAATAAGACAAGTGCCGAATCCCCACCTTCAAATTTCCTTTCAAGTCAGTCCTTCGACATCCACCATTTACAGCAACATACGAAGCGTTCCATTCTCGCAGAGTCAAGCAACTATGTCGGCATGCTTTAGAGATGTGGATGAAGTCATATCAATCCTCCATATCCCTGATTTCGTGGTTCGAACCGACAGAGATACTGGCACTCATGAGGAAGCAGTATCAAAATCGCGATTAATGGGCACCAATCCCGAAGACCACGCCTACACAGCTATTCAAAAACAAAAGTTATATTCGACTCGAAGACAAATAAAACTCTGCGAAACGAAACAAATGATTACGAGACTGGCCATCGAACTGTTACTGAAAGTCTTTGAGGATCTAGACATCGCTTGCAAAGTATCACTCGGGCTAACTTGTAAGCGTATTTATGTATTTACAAGAGTCTCTACCCAGGCAGTGGTGCCGCTACTAGTAGATTAAAGGGATTTCTGGTTTACTCGTATGTAGAAAATTTGGCCCTGCCTTCGAGATCTATTTTGCACTAATTTACAAGGGAATTTACAACAGCTATCGCGAAGAAACAGAGCGATGGGCTCGTCTCTACAACACGCCCGCTATCAATTCGTCCCAAAGCTCGAACAAAATGGACTTTGGCAGAATAAAGTCTTTCAGATCTATTTTGGGCACCTGCATTTTGTATAATTGTGCGCTTCCTAGAGTCGGAGAATAAACGCTGGCTTTACTGTTATAATAATGGGCTTGGGAGTGGTGTAGCTATATGCATGGTTCCTATTATTCAGGTCGTCAAGGGGGCGAGATAAAGCGCAAGCAATGGAAGTTTGTCTCATAGTGGGAGGTTAGTCAAGCACAATATATAGGAGATTTTATCCTCGTTGTTGATTCAGGGACATCGGGTTCCTAGCAGAAAGGATTATCTTCACAATAGGAATGACTTCTAGCTGGTCATGCGTGAGAGAAGGAATTGTCATCGCTGCTTGGTGCTTTTATGTCAGGCAAGATCAATCACTAATATTATTGGAGGCCAAGTCTACGATGGTCAGGAGAGTATATACCTCTATACCGTGACTTTAATTCAAATGTTATTCAGAACGGTACACCATCCGGTGGATAAATGGCAAACGGCATAGAACAGGTCTCCACGGAATATTGAGGGAAGGCGGCCGTGATGGGATACAGAAGGTTACAGTAGTCTCATTTTCATGAACGTGGAGCACTTAAATTTCTGACCGTGCAGAATTGTGACAGAATGGTACGACTTGAATTCAACGGCGCAAGTCCACCCTCTGCTCTCAGCATCCAAAACACCACCAGACTGGGTATCACCACCCTCCTTCCCTTCCATACACAAACTGCATCCCCTCGCACACTGTTCCTATGATACAAGAGTTCTGCCTTGCCACCATGGCCCATCTCAGACACCAAACAGTCTTTCAGAAGAGCCCTACTAATCCTGAATGGACCGATCAGAAGCCATGGCGACGAAGGCCAAGAAACAATTGATCTACCCTCCCCAACCCTTTACCCCTCTTAACACGCCCTCCCCCCCTTAAACTCCCCCACGACCCGCTCCTTTAACCTTCCCAGCTGTAGTCGCGCTCTCTTGGTCCAGAGCTTGCTGACATACAGCTTCTTCTTCGCGTCGTATTTGACGTCGCTGGGGATCCAGTCGACGAGGAACTCGTGGAGTCGGTAGCGCGCCACTTCTTGGCAGTGGCCGCAAACGAGATTGATCTGTGCGGTCAGATCGACCGTCTTGGTTGGAAATTGTAGTTTGTATGTTTCTCTCATCTGCTTGCAGGTGAGAGATAGGAGCACGGCTGGTATTTCCTCGAGATGATCGAGGATCTCTCGGTGGATCTCTGCTGGCAACGAGAGGAAGATGGATTTTGTGTCTGCTGCTAGATCGAGTCAGTTGACGCGCTTTGTTTGGGGGAGGAAATGAGGACTTACCCATTGTTTTTCTTTTTCGCGATCTTGTTCTTTGGGTGTGCTGTTTGAAGGCCGAGTTTCCTTCGTGATTGTTAATGCGATTGGTATTTCTGCGGATGGCTGCGATAACTCACAGTATCAAAGAGAAGATACCATCTGGAAACTTTCTTCCTGTCACCCTGGTAGGTGTGAATGGGTGCGCCATGATTGGCTGATTAGCCGAACATGTGAGCGACCTTGGTAGCGAGGCACTCAAGCGCAAAAGAGAGGAGACGCAAGGATTGAGAGAAGGAGTGCAAAGTTGCTGTTGCAACAACAAAATGATGTCTGTTGCGACAACGAAGTTGATGTGAAGATCAGCTACATTACCATGTCAAGTTGGAGCCTTGTCTTGAAGTGTTTGTGTAACAAATGCGGTGAAGTGCGGCAGTAAATAGCCCTTTTGAGATTCGTGTTGCGGGGACTGATTCACACATATTCTTCTTTGGCATGTTCAGAAATCTAGCCAATTTGGCCTTCAACCTATATTCATTCACAAACTTACCCCTTTTCAGATTGCTAAGGTGATATCAGGCGACTAGACGAACAAGAGCCCTCCTTTGGTTTCCCTAAAACAATAAGATGTCAATAGGAAGCAATGTCAGAGGTGTTTGACAAACTTTTATTTAGTATCTTCCACGGACTTCAAGGTAGAATGGCCATGAAATATTTTGTGTTTAGGAAAGCTATAGTATGAGAGTTTCTTGCCCATTGTTACGCCACTGTCGCATCAAGGCTTAAACACATGAGTCTTGCGCAATCTCACATCTACGAAGTCACATCATATGTACAGACATAAGTTTGTATTGTTAGCAGACGTGCGTAACTCTGGTTAGTTTACTTGTAATCCATTATCTAGATTTTCTCCTTATTAAATCAAATGTAGTATAACACAACTCTGCCATAACTGAACAAATTCACGGCAAAAGGGGACTTAGTGTGGTGTCTTGCCTCAATGCTGGTTTTAATCAGCGAGATTTACTTAACATAGAGAAGCTTGATCTTTCTACCAAATCTCAAGGAATTAAAACAATTTAGATCATCTCACTATGGTGCTTATTTAATCACTGAGTAACAGTTATAGCAGAACCCAGTTCTTGTTCCAGTTCAAAGCACTGGTAAATCAGGGATGGGCAAATATTCCGAGATAATATATCCGCTCCATATTGAAAAGGATAATTGCAAGACATTTGACGTCTACTGAACACAAACTGCTACCTCGCCACAGTCTATAGATAACTAATTATGCTTAACTGTATTTCAAAATTTCACTTCAAACAATGATCGCATTCAAACATGCTTATGTCTATTCAATTACCAATTCTCGTTAAAACGGAGCTTAGACCTAGACCCTATCAGGGGACAGAGACTTGTGACTTAATTTTTGGGCCGTTATGCTTTGAGTTCTTGGATTCGCTACCCAATGTTTACTGTGTTATTCTTCTGCTTTGGAATTGATATAATCTTTGAAACTAACTTGAGTGTGTGAAACCAGTAACAGATTAACAATACCTTCATATCATGTCTTTTGGATATCTTTTGAATAGAAACAACCTCATCAAAGGATTTGTTGTGAGAGATTATTAGAACTATTCAGGAAGTTAATGATAACTTTTGTGGTTTAATCGCCATTTATTCGGGAACTATCTGCAGTCGAATTCCACATACTCAAGAGTGGTACCTGAGGTTGCGGTATCGCATATACTTTGTTACTAAAGGGAATGTAGACGCTTTTGTTGTATATCGCCAGATAAATTGATAGATTTGTCTATTACTCAAATATATTCTACAGCCAAATCTGACTAGGCACGTGATCAATTGAATGTGGTCGCACCAGACGATTGTTCCAAAGCAAAGCATAAACCCAGTCTTAGAGCTGACATGTCATTGAGCTGCTTCATGACCTTCTTGAGAATAGGATGACAAGTCTCTTCGTACAATAACATGATTCATGAGAATCAATTTCGCTGCCTCCCCTGCGCAACATCTACAACACCAACGGGCAACTGCATCACAAATCCAACCAACATCCCCTCATTTGAAGGTTTCGCGCCCAACTCTTATGTGCTGCGCCCTCCCCTGCCACCAACTATTTGCTAAGCCTTGTTTTGTCAACGACCAATCGTCAATGATTCTGGTGGATTTGAGGCTATCGTGAGCTTGGCCGTGCCTCCGGCTTCGCCAAAGTGGACCGCCAAAGATTTCACCCGCTCTGATTAGGCTAATCGTCTTGTTTTTCGTAGATGAGATATTCTGGTGGTCCCTGGAGAAAAGAAAGGATACAAAGTTTTACCCTCACCTCCAAATGGAAGTCAAGAGAATTTATGCACTTCATGGAGAGACATTCTGGTGATCGTCGTTGGTCCCAACCTGGATCCTCACTGCTTGGCGTCGTCATGCCGTGCTTCCCCATCACCCACCACGATGTTCGCATGTTGGGTACCCACAAGAGAGGATCTCGAAGGATTCGTCATTCGAACAAACCACCCAATCATAAGTTCTCCACAGACAACCAACATTTCATGTACAGATGCTGGTCTGTAGATCCCAATTATCTCGGTGGGTTTGATATCAATATCACAGAAGAACCAAGGGCTACCACTTGGTACTTTTAATGGACCGCGTGGGACTTACATACTGTTGGTCTGCCGCAGCAAATCCTTTAATATTTCCAGTCCTCCACCCTTTCCCCCATTTCTCCGCTATAACCACAAATCTGACAGAACATTTCTTTGAGTCTTTCCTTTTCGTTTTAGTCATTCATTTCCAACTTGATATACACAGAAAATGCCGGTAAAGATGTTTTCGCCCAAGAGGATCGTTACGCCTCCCTATGGACGAACATATCGTAAAACTTTCAATGAGCGACTTCGAGCTTTGACAGCAGCCTTTCTGGTTGCAATCTTGATTTTCTATTACACAATGGACGAATATCCTTTTTGTTCAACTTGCGACTTTGCTGTTCGGGACTTGTGGGAGGCGAGAGTAGACGCAGGGAATGATACCCTGGGTGTATGTTTTTCGTGCTAATAAGACTGTTTCATACACAGTCTTCCATATTTCCGATAGCTAATGCGATTTAGTTTCACAAAATACTTGCTCTTTCCTACGGGCCAAGCTGGAGAACACGGGGACTTATTGCAGCAGCAGACTACACCGGTCTTGATATTGAAATACCAAAGCAGACTCACCCTACCCCCGAGTTGGTAGAGGCGTTCCAGAAAATCCCATCTGACACTGGGAAACAGCCTTCCAATGGTTCCGCCTACGCATGGCTAGCACACCTCGACCTATTGAAGTACGTGATAACGAACAATTTGGAGACCACCTTGATCGTTGAAGACGACGTGGATTGGGATCTCAATATCAAAGAACAGATGAGACTCATCTCCGATAATATTCGTCGCTTCACAGAAGTCAACTCTACCGATTCCAGTCCATATGGCCATTCATGGGACATCCTCTGGATCGGGCACTGCGGCGAGCGAACGGAAATAGACACTCATAGGATTGAGTATGACGATTCAGCTGTGCTACCCGCAAAAGTCTATACTGGGTGGTCCAACAAATTTATGTTTAACATTGATGCTGGGAGAAGAGCAATCCAAGAAGGTGTCAATCCAGTTTGTACCTTTGGATACGCTGTTACTCTTAAAAGTGCAGAGAAAGTTCTTCAGTATGCCGGCAAGGGCGGGAATGAAGCCTTTGATATTCAACTTTTGCAAGGTTGCCAAGCCAAAGACTTGGATTGTCTGGTCGTCAACCCTGAAGTCATGCATCATTACAGTATGCAAAATTTACTTTTCCCTTAAACAAACCCTCGCTGTATCTTTCAGTTGGGAGCAAGTCTTTTCCACCACTGTCTCGGGTTGTGATTCATGGATAACCAATGCTAATTTGTTCCAGCGCCATCAAAAGAACTAGGTTATGCGAGCAGTGTCTACGAAGGCGATGGGAAGGGATCCTCGAGCGAAGAATCTCAATTCGAAAATATTATTGGAGGCACTGAAAACATTCTTCGCAGTGCGCGATGCAGAGTTCTTTTCGGGAGTACCTGCTTGAAAGACCATAGGGATTACTGAACAACGCAAACGAGTCGACAACCCCATACAATATCGCTGGGATTCAAGCAAAGAAAATACCTGATACTACAGAGGATAACCGGACCACGATGTCTCAGCTGTACGAGAGCACCTGAATTCACGCGAAGATACAACGAGAAGTAGCCTCAATTACTGGGCCAATGGAGTCGTGATGGTCGACATGATTGGGGTAGGGGGAAGCTGCTTCCCTGAGCCGACTTGTGTTTCTAAAGCTCGATCATCTCAAAACACCCGTCACGATCTGCAGGTGATCCACATGAAAACCTAATGGCTCCTTCCCATTTTACCGACGCCGGCATGGCGCCAATACGAGGAGACGGAAGCTATGGCACAAGTCCAAAATTTCGGCGGTGACAAAATTTTTCTATCGAATCTTTCGTTATAAGAATATTCTTTTGTTGTGAAGAATATATGGTGGATTTGAGGGACCAATCTCCCGCGCGTGCAAATCAAGAGCCCAATCTTCTCAATCGGAGAGAAGCCACATCAACCGGTTGTGACTAGTGAAGTGTCTGAGAAAATTCTGGGCAATGACTTAGGAACGAAGGAAAAGCACTAGGTTCAGGAAAGGGAGTGAGATGCCTCGATGAAGGGTAGAGGGTGTTCAAGGGAAATCTGTAGAAATGGGGGATGGGTCGAGATCACTAAATGAGGAGAATGGTAATCTGCAGACAGGAGAATCAACGTCTATTGTAATCACTCGCGTATTATAGTAACGTTGTCATAGTCTATACAAGTGCTGTAGATATTTCAAACAACGAGATCAATTCGCAAAACATTCTAGGACGACGATACTGACGGTTCCACGCACTAGCTAGCTACAAAGAATAGATAAAGAATATAGAGGCACATACTACTAGGTAATATACGAATTCGTAACTGAAATCCTATATAACTCTTTCCTTCACAGCTCTAGTATCTCGCGTAGGCTTAAAGTTAACAAAATTATTCTCGAAAGTTAAAGACATAATTTGAGAGAACCCTTATTCTTCTAAAAGCGCTCCCATGATTCTCAGCCAAAGTAACTTAATGCTATATACTCTTAATACAAATAATATATCCTCAAATAGGGGGACGTCCACTATACCTTTTCTCTTACCAGAAGGCGTGCTTTCTCGGTTAGTTTCCTTACCAAAAAACATCTTCGAGTAGATTTCAAGAAAGAGGTTCTATAAAAGTCCATTTCTGAAATTCTGGAAAACGATGTCCCCAGATTGGGTTTTCAAACTCATAATATACACACGAAAAACGTTCCATGATGAATCATCCCATTGTTCACACCTCTACCCTCCAGCCCAGTAATTTGCAGACACTCAATCCCCTCTAATGAACAATTCCTCGAATGTTTCCCTATCCTTTGAATAGCACTCGAAGAGCTCTTTGATCGATTCAGCAGTATGACTAGGGAAACTTCAAGGACTGTAAGTTAGATATATAATCGCCTCTGCTCGTCTCCCAGACGTCGTGCAAAGCACTCCATTCCCTTCCTTATGAGACACGTCTGTGGAAAACCCTTGGCTCTGCTAGCTCTACAACGGGTTCACCAAGCTGGTACTGTATGTTTTGGACAGTTGGTTGTCATAACGCTGTAGCGAGATTGGAAATACTCGCAGATATGCCATTTAGCGCTTCGGGACTGGGATCTCCTCTTCCAACTTGTTTGCCCTCGTCTTCTTCGTCTTGAGGGTTTGTTCGAGGTAGTTCAATTGAGCATGGCGCTTTTGAGAGTGCGCATATGGGGTAGGCAGTGTTTGCAGGACCGTCGATGCAGAGCTATTATGCAACTCAAGTTTATCGGACAAGTTCTCGTCTGGTGTATCCAGATCTCCGATCAAGACAGACCTGTCCCCAGCAAGTCTTTCGCCTGGATAGTCTTCCATAGGCATAGAACCATGGAATTGGTGTCTTTTCCCACTTGAATCTATCTGGATATTGCTAAATGAACTTCAGCAAAAGGAAACCTTCAAAGGTGGTCTAAAGCACTTACTTCTTCCACTCGCTCCTCTCAGTCCTCATATGAAGCAGCAAATAACTGCTTCTCCCATCTTAACGGCGTCAATCAGATTTCGAAGGGATTCGAGTTTCTTATTCTCGCTCTTGATACGATTCCATTAGATTGGTCTTTGCAGTCTTTCATTCGGCCGTGAAATGGGCTTCTGCGTTATTCCTGTGCTTGTTTGTTGTTGAGATGGCGCTTGGCGAGTGTTCCTTGGTCTTTCTCTTCTTGCAGGTATGCCAATAAGTCCTGAAGGTCCTGGGTGTTCTCGTAGGTACCCTGAGGATCGGGTGTTGGCGAGGTCTTGTGGATTTCTTCTGGTGGTATCGTTGTAGCGGTAGAGAGTATAGAGGGTGGTGCTGAGGAAGAGATATACGATATGCGTGCAATCTTGTGTTTGGCGCAGAAATATCCATCTGGTTGAATCATCCATGGTCGCTCATTCACTTGCAGATTCTGTCATGTTGCTGTAGCATAGGCTGGACAGCAGAGTAAGAACGAATTGAAGGCCAGCGAGCTCAGAATCTGGCCAGCTCAGAATGATCGAACCCTCTCGCGTCTACAGACAATGTTGGGTTTGAGATGCGCGCGCGTATTTCAGCTAAGATTTAGCGTGGACGGTTGTACGCACCGTAGCCTCACAAGGAGATATTCGTGCTCAAATTGATGGCTCTTATGGCTCTCAAGGGGGGCTAGAATAAAAATCACTTTGGAAAATGTCGTATCAACTTAGCAGATTCTTAGATGTGCAGTCACTCAATGTCAAATCAAGGGTCATCACTCAGAATAATTGCTCCCAAAAGGACTGCAATCGCAAGTCTCCACTTCAATTTCCGCCCTATTCCATGAAAACTGATCTCTCAACCAGCAGCGGAATCAGAGATTCCTGGATCTCCGATAAACTTCCAACGTAAAATCCACTGCTGGTTGAAGAGAACAGTTACAAAGATCTCTTTCTCTTCTTGGACTTTTTGCCCTTCTTGCCCTTCTTGGCCTTCTTAACGGACCCCTCTCCCTCCGAATCCTCCGACTGGCTTCCAGGAGTGTTCAAGGCTACGCCCACCAGAGTGCCGGCCAGTTCCGAGATCAGTTCGTCCTCATCGTCCTCTTGTGATCTGTTGCCTGCTGGTTGTGAGGGAGCTGTGAGACCAGATGGACCACCAGGGTTGGCGGGGACGGAGGGGGCACCTGTGGTTGTCAGTTTGTACTACGATACAGAAAGCATGAAGCGACTTACCGGAAACGGCAGCAGGAGGAGCCGCAGAAGGAGCAGCAACAACAGCGCCAGCAGAAGCAGGACCAGCAGCCGCAACGGTTCGCGCCGCATGGGTACGGACGTTGGGCCTGTGAACGCTAGAAATAATCTTTTAGCAACGAGAACCACACTGATAAGGAGGAGATGCATTTGGTGAAGAACGTTTTGATCTCTTATAGGGGTAGTAAGCTTAGTGGTTCTGCTTCGCCAACGTTCTTGCTCCCTCCGCTGCGGCCTCCTTCTGGTCCAGTGGCATGGCCACCCCTTCCAGTTCCTTCATTTTGGCCTTGTAGGCGCGCGTACCGGCTTGGTACGCCGCCTCTGCAGCCGGATCTCTTGGTCCTCTCGGCATTTTTTCGTGGTGTGGTTGATGTTGGTTTTCAAGAAAGTTGGTTGCCGGAAGGAAGAGTGTCGACGGTGTCGACAATCACAGAAACAGAAAATATTATGTGTGCTCGCTTATCCTCAAAGTGAGTTCTGGATGAACCAATGGCGTGAAAGCAATTTCGCTCTTCGACACTCGGCTCTACTACAGAAACTCCGAGGTCTCTCATTTTGTAACCCATCAAGCATAACCCCCTCAACCCCAACCGCCTCTACTTCATCCTGGATCGCTTCAGACCAGAATTGGACACGACTCTCCAAAGCCATCCTCCCCCTCACCGATGGCCGTCTTTGTCCATTAACCCATTATCGTGGCATCGGCCACGAGACGACAAGAACCAGAGTTAGAATTGACGCTTCGTCAGTAGACGACGGAAGGAATTACCGGCTGTTAAAGTCCAAACTTCGTCCACAAGCAAGATGCTCCTCCTCTTCCACTGGAGAGACAATATGTTCAGGATATGAGAACCTCGAGAGACAGATGAGAACAGTCCTGGCTTTGAACGACTCGAGGGGGTTGAATTCATCCTGGAAAGGTCTCTGGAAGGGCGTCGCGCTTTCGCGCATATGTCACTGAGGCTGTTATGGAAGGTAATCCATTCTGTTTTTGCGGCCGTCATTATGTTCTCAGTATATTCGCTCAGACGCTCTCCCCCCTTTTGACAGAGCAGCAAGTAGCGAGCCGTTCAGTTGGCAGGTTTGTTACCGGGGATAGCTCACCATCCTGTATTTGGTTTTGGGTGAGCAGCTGCAAGGTAGCTTTCAAAGTTATGATCAAATCAATGTAAGTATCTTGCAAGGTTGGTGGCAGTCCAATATATGGGAGCCAAGCACTGATACGCTGGTGGTAGACCATTGAACCTCAGGATACAGCATCCGGCAAAGCGAAGCCCCGAAGCGAACCCCCTCCCCAGAAGGGCGAGTGGCAACGCAAGATTTCGCAAAGACGGCAAACCTTTTACGGACTTGTTACAAGGTGTATTTGAGAAGGAGTCCAAGGTACCCTAGCGCAAAGCGCCTGCGATCGTACGGTTGAAATTTGCGCGACGCACTCTGCGGTATTGCGTTCAGATATCATACGATCGGGCTTGAGCATCCACTTCGCAGAGAAACTCGGAGTCCAAAGGAGTGAACCAAAGTCGACGATATACTTCTTCTCTTTGCTCGAGTCATGCTTTTGGAGCGGTCGAAACCATGTGCGGGATGTCACAGCTATTGCACCATTGCTGTGTTTCTTTCATCCTAAAGGCAGGCAAAATATTGTGCTCTTATTGCGCCGAGTGGTCGATGAGGGGATAAAAGAGTACAGCAGAGGCTCAAGTCCTTGGAGTATGCACATATGAAGGCCAAGCAACGCCTTTCAACTTTGGCCATAGGTTGTGTATGAGCTAGTTCATGATCTGGCAAGGTTGGAAAGGGTTGGGAGAAGTTATACTGTCTTGGCAGTGGTAACCAGCTTCAGCTCATGACGGCTCAGAACGGTTTGTACAGGCTCAGAACGGCTCAGGGGTTTGAACAAGCTGGCATCTTTTTCGGTTCGTATCAGCTTTAGAGTTCTTTGGAAGTTATGCAGCTCTTTTTGTCGGGAAATGTACGTCTGGCCTATGGCTGTAGCAGGCAACCTATCCAGCTCTGGACTGTTCAAGTTGGGCTATGTTGAAAGCTCCTTTCTGCAAAACATCTTGTTAGCTTCTTACCAAGATGATTTGGACAAGTGAATGGGGGTATGCTGTGAATACGTACCAGTATTTTCCTGGCGAGCCTGGCTAAGAGGGCCTCGCCATTTGAGCCTAGGTTCTGTGGAGATCGCTTCACAGCAGAGTTTGGCGCTGAGTGAGGTTATGTCGTATAAACACTCAAATCTATCTGAGGTCAGCATTTAGTCATATTTCTTGTGTCAGAAGTGATTATTGCGCACCTTATCTTGCGAAAATCTTAGCAAGCATGCTCATAAGCTTGATAGGGGCTGCGCGCCATACTCTGATGCCACCGACACGGTTGGTACCACCAGAGAAGCCTAGGCGATATACTGCATGATTCGCGCAATCTTGTAACGAGACGTACGACTTCCAGATTGGACAGGTTGGATGGCTGAACCTTTGGAGATGCGATTCTTGACGGTAGGTGGTGGTGGTGGTGGTGGTGGTGGTCGGAGGTTGAAGGTTGAAGATTGAAAGGTTGTGTGGGTTCTGCTGTGCTTTAAGCGACCCGCTTTACCCTTTTACAACAACTCCGATCGGCGTTTAACTTTTCCGGAATCTTTTTGTCAGCTCCTCATTAAATGTCCAGGGTCAGCCCAGTTTTAAAGTTATGGCAATTTACCCATATTCTGGTGAAAGAGGTTGTGATGGCTGATTTCCCTGACTGAATCAAGATTTGAATTTCTTTTTCGTCAAAGCACAATGTCTGTTTGTCCGTTATTCTTCATCACCTGTTGCACTAATGACCCCCTGAACACACAAACGCTCAATACTCGAGTACCAGCGACATTTTCAGGTAGCTGGGGCCAATTGAGTTATCTAGAATACAGCATTCATCTGCGAAAGCAATCTTTCCTGCCAACCAGCGGAAGCTGAGGACGCCAGTAAGTTTAGCGACTGCAAACTTCAGAGGAAGCAGGGGAAGAGAGCACTTACGTGGTGTTGGACGGACTCCATCTTTTGATACAACTCTTGTTTTTCATCCACTATTTAAGTTGCATTATTGAAGCTAGCAATGATGGAAAAGAAATTACAAGGAAGCTGGCTGGATAGATAGATGTTAAATCAACATCCTTTGTATTCCTTTAGTTCTTTTTAACTGGATGAACATTTCACGAATATGTATCAAGTAGCTGATGAAGCAGCTACAAGTCAGCTGCAAATCAGCTTTACCTAGAGTAGACTCATGCCGCCAAAATCGCCACCATTAAAGGGGGGTTGATCCTGTGACAAAGTACAAAGTAACCTAGTCCATTGCAGACTTGCTTTCAAGAAAAAGCCCTTCTATGTTCCACTTGTGTCATTTTCGTTTTCTCCTTAAGATACATATGGCCACCTTTCAGTTATTAAGGAGAAAAAAAACGAGTGCAAGATAAAACGTAGTGTCCTATCTCCAGTAAATGTAATACATACAAAGTAAAATTGGAAAAGTTATTATAAATGATGTTGTTAGGAGTCTTGAGCAAAACTACCATGCTGGCAAGACTAATGGCGCCTAGGGGTGAGTTAGGCGAGTCCAGAGTGCTAGCTAGTGGCTTGTGAGTGACCCATCCACCAGTTGTAGCACACAATGCCTTGATTACATGCCTTCATATAGTGCCTATGAAGGGAAGCTTGGTGGACATATTTGCAGAACGGAACATTTTTGTGAGAATCTGATTCTTCCAAGTTGATATACTATTGACTAATATACCCCCATATATGGGACACAGGTAGCACAACAAAAACAGAACCCATTAATTGTCACTCTGATGGAATCCTTCATTTCGTTGCTTGAACTCGTGTTACCATGTTGATACTGGGTGCCTCTTCACTGAACTACATGCTTTTTAACTCTTACTCCAGGAGCAATCTGTTTGGATGGCGTGGAGGTTTCTCAAATATGGAGTGAATGGCAGACTGTTCCAGAGACACAATTGTATTTGGTAGCCTGGCACATGACCAGATAATCCTGCTCTTACAAAGCTGCGTCATACAAACCATGCACCTTCCAAGACTGAGACTATAACAACACAACCGAGTCTTCTGTACCTTTCAATATCCTACGTGTACTTTTTAACACAACACCTTGTTAAAACCTCTGAGTCTCTGAAGAGCTTCCAGCATACGAGACAATATACAGAGCACCAAAGCCATGCCAGCCACAGTGACTGTCGCACCTCATGGTGCTAATCAGTTTATGTCTTCCAACTCCATCAACAATCCAACAGAACTATTAAAGAAGTCATGCTTTACAGAATTCAAGAAGTTGAAGGACAACCATATCTTGCAGACTTCATTTGACGAGCTATTGAACGAGAATAAAATTTATTCTCATTCAAATGGTTTCATCGACGGCGCCTTAAGAGCTCACAATAACCATCACCATCTCATCATCCGTCCAGATGATGTTTGGCTGAGCACTCTTACACAGTTCAGCGCTTATGTCAATAAACATGCAGAGAGCCTTAGAAATATGTTTGTTCCTAATCAAGGAGACAGTGAGCTGTTTGTTGAGATAAGCGGAAGTAAGTACTTGGATCTCTCTGAGAATATTGGAAGATGACTAATATACGATTCGACTATAGTTCAAGGAGCGGGCTATCTAGGCGTAGACTGGGAAAAGTTTGCTTTGCTCATGACAGAGCGAATTAGCGACAACATCAAAGACCCCTATCTAAAGGCTTGGATTCTCCCCGCATTTACCACGACCAACGAAACCGATCGTCTCGTCGCCTCGATTGCCATGATGGCTACCCCTCAAGAAAAGGCTGAGAGAAACACAGCAGACCTTTTATGTGGATTGCCCTCGGTCACACTACTTGGAGAGAAGGAAGATTGGGAGAAACTTATGACGAAGGCGGAGCGACTTATTGCCGTCGGTGATGAACCTAAAGAACGGTTTGAGCTGCTACGACCAGTTCTTTCTAGATTCGTTTCCACATTTGACAATCCTACCTCATCTGAAACTACGGAATTCTGGCGAAAGATTTCACATTATGAAAATGATGGATCTGCAACTACACACTTACATGTAGGTTTATCACCACTTCACTTCAACCTAGAACCGCAGGTAAACTTACAAATCTTTGGGATGGCTCACATGTTTTTGCTTCTGGAGCAACGACGGTTGCAAGCTGTATCGCGAACATTCGACCAAGGGACTTGGACTTGATGGCGCACAATACGGATATATTGATAGTGCTGATATTCCCAACGGTTGGTGCTCAGTTCCGGTCAAAATCGATAACCATGGTGTTGTGATCCATTCTACCATGGTTGCTGGCTCAGTTGGTATCAAGGTAACTAGTAGTGGGAAGGAATTCCACGAAAAGTCTGGTCAAACCGGTCTAGATACTGTGTCACCAATTAGTGGGTGGTGGTTATTTGAGTCGAAGGTTGATGGGGAGCTGGAGGAATAGGGGTAACACCTTGGAAAAATGTGCAAGGAACAGGGAGTAGTCGATGGGGGGATTCAGACAATTACGACTACTTCTTACGCATTCTGTGAGGCGAGGAATTTATGTAATGTTAGTAGTGAGCGATAAGGAGCACAATTAGTATTAAGACAGAATTTCATTCCTACGCAGATGTTAATTATAGATCATCCTTTATACTTGGAATCTATCCATGGCTTTAGACAACTGATTGGAAGATCATGCGTTGAGTAGATCTACGGTGTAAAGCTGCCCTACAAACTTATATCTATAATTCTCGTCATTATATCTTGATGGGCTTTTTGGCTTCCCAAATTAAGTACGGAACGAGGACGTGTACAAGAAAGCTGCTTGTAATATTCATGACACCTGAAGTATATACCAAATGATACTATAAATGTTTATAGGTATGAAGCCTCAATTGCGAATCCAACAGTAAGCTTGATATGTCTCAAAACAGAAGGCCATTGAACGGATGCAAGGGTCTGGTGAATATATCAGTATATAGTCTAAGGCATTTTTAATATCACGGTGAGAGACTTACATCACTGGCACTGTGAATCTTTGGGTTTGAGGTGGCAAAGATTTCTTCATGGACGAATCCGGCAGCTATCTGACGTTAGGGTTATTCTTTGCATGGGCATGTTAGACTTACGGAAGCCGTTGGATGTTGCGCTAGCATGATCGGAACATCCATAACCACAGGTGCTTGTCAAGGGGTTAATGCCAGTGTACTGAGCGACAATCAATCGAAGGTAAGCGGTCAGGGGGGCGTTCGTGTAGTCAGTATACACAACCGGCTTTCCAGCTGGACTGTATCCAGTCATATCTTGGTTGAGGAAAGCGAGAACTGTCTTTGCCGCAGATTTGTAGTTGGCATAGATACCCGCAGATCCCAACAGTCCTCCTTCTTCACCTGCATACCAGTGAAATCTAGATTTGGTTAAGAAGTCAGAGGAATTCTTGAGAAGGCAGCTTGTAAGACTGGGAGTATCGAGTTGCAAGTTGAACATTAAACTTACTCAAGTGTGTTCTTTGGCTTGAACCCAGATTCGACAAGAATTCTGAAGGCCTCAAGAATAGTGACTGTGCCAGTTCCGTTGTCGTCAGCACCGGGTGAACGACCTGAGGAAGTGGATCCGACTGAATCTTGGTGTGCTCCCACGATAACTGGCCATAATTAGTGAAACAGTTTTGCAAACTTGGAATCGAAATCTCTTACCCAAGTTAGTTGTAGTTCCGGGGATCTTGGCAATTATGGAAGGCTGGTTGAAGGAGTGGGTGAACTTTGTTACAGTTATAGCTGAATTTGCGCGGGCGATACTGGTGACTTGATCAAACAACCACTGAGAAGATTGAGTGCCAGTTGCACTTCTGTAGTACCGGGTGTAGAAGCTTTAGTTCTGTTAGCATGTTCCAAGTACTTAATGCAACCTAAAAGAATAAGAACTTACTTCGTGAATGTTGTGAGCCATGCTGTTGGCTTCGAGATATCAATCTTCGCAATCGCAGCGTTGGCCTCTGTAACATGGGCCAAGCTGGTGGGATAGGTGACAGCTTGTGCGGATACCAAGGCGTTTTCAGTGCCCGAAAGAGCGTCAAGAACCTCCTGATCCTATATTCATGTTAGTAACTTGGCGGATATGTGACATGAATCGATACACACCTTGATATCGGTTATATCAACAAACTTGATGTTCTTTGTAACATAGTTGTCAATCTTTTCTTCCTCCGTTACCCAGACAGATTCTGTTTCTGAGGTCTTGATCAAACGAAGGTCGTCTCGGACTTTCAAAGACTCAGCAGCAGGAGCAGCAGAGACCAAAACACATGTTGATGCCACAATGGCACCCAATGAAAGAGAGAATTGCATGATGGACAACAGAAAACAAGGTTTCCGGAAACAAGACGACGATGCTGGTTGATCAAGTGGAACCATGAACGAAGCGATATCTTGTTTACATATATACCTTATCCCACTGTTCACATCACTTACGGCGTGCTCCCATATTGCGCTTCCAAGACTCGCCAAGAGCCATATATCTGCTGGCTTAGAGAGGAACGTCGCTTAGAGCCTCCTACCTTCCGTTCCGAGCACTGGCCGTTCTGGCCAAGCCGGGAAAAATCACGAAATACATTATCATCACATTCAGAATCCAATTGCAGGTCATGTTCTCTGAATGAACGGAATCCTGGTGGGTGTAGGAAAACAGGCGGATGGAAAGTGGAAGGGCGGAGGCCAGGGTCCAGACGAACACGATTGAAGAAGGATCTTTGTGAGCTGCTGGAAAGGGAAGAGCCAAGACATAAGATTGATTAGGGTTGTGTTCTAGAATACGAAATCGTTGATATCGTACAACTTTAGAATCTAGACCAGGGTTAGCTGCCAGGGGAAACTGCATGGAAGGAATCTGTGAGTTCGACACAAAGCGATGCGGGTGCGGGGAGTGACCCATGTTCTCGGCAGTGCGGGTAAATACCGACAAGTTGTATTTGAGCTTCTCCAGAATAGGAAGGTGGGGTCAGAAATGTCTCCGAACAGCTATATCTAGGAAGTGAGATGCAGAATTGTAACGCAATGTCGTGACTTTTATCAATCAGAATGATAAGCGCGGAAAAATCCCATACATTGTCTAAATTTGGATATGCACTTCATAGCCAATCCCAACGAACCATCAGAGGTACACCACCTTGATACTTCAGAGAATGATCCTCCTTATATTGCCAGTATTGCTAGAAAGAATTCAAGTAACACGTTTATGGATTGTAGAACAATTACGGGTACTACTGTTTTCCGTTTTTCCATCCACTCAATCCTCATGGCACACATCAAATAATAGTAGCAGACAAGTACTTCATCGTTATTCTACATTCCCAGATTGAGATGGTTAATAGGCTTGAAAGATAGTTCGGAACCAATGTCACTTTTCATGTCTTCAGAGCTGGTAAGTCTCAGGCAGAAGCATCCGATAAAAAAGAAAAAAGGAGATCATGTTGACCCTAGACGCATCTGATATTTGACCCTAAATGTAAGAAGCAAAAGCATAACCTAGCGGGACCCTTTTCCACCCAAATCAAATTCGGACAAACGACAAGAGGTATTCAATCGCATAGCATGTATCAACTGCCGAAAAAACAACTAGTTAGCAGATCCCACTAAAATGACGATATCGAAAACGTGATCTGTCACATGACTCACCCCCTTCTCACTAACCGAGTACTAGTTAGAGACCAAAGAGTCTAGATCCAACAGCTACTGAGTGAACTAATGGATAAGAAAAAATGAATGATGAAGATAAATAATCAGCTTTGCCCAGATATTTACATATCACTCCACAGGATTTGAACAGCCAAAAAACAAAAAGCCCTACTATACAAAAGTACAATTTCCACAACAGAACTCAATCATTTATAGAAATATCATCTGAAGGAAAGAAAAAGCACAAAGAACCACAACTCATTCTCACAATGCGATCCACAATCCTTACACTATACCTCACTCTCGTCATCCTCGCCATTCTTCCCCCAACCACACAACTCCAGCCGTTCATCGAGCCAAAATTTTGGTTCGAGGCATGGAGAGATACAATCAAACCTGACGCCAAACATCCCATGTATCCACCTAAACCTTGGAAACCTCGACCTACCATCGAAGAGCGAACCGAACCTACAACTATGCCAAAGATTGCACCACGTGAAGGAGGTGGTGGAGTGGCGGGAGCACGGGGAGGTAGCATAGGACGGGTAAGCTCGAGTGCAGGGCGCTTCAGCTCAGGTGGAAGAATTTCTAGCAGCAGTGCAGGACGTACTGGTAGTAAGGTTGCTGCTGCAGGAGCGGGAGGTCTTGCTGGAGGGGCTGGCGGTGCGATGCTTGGGCCTCTCGCTGGTGGTGGTGGTGGTAATGTCACAGCAAACGATGCTGCATCAGGGCCTGAATTTGAGGGTTATAAGATGTGCTTTGGGTTTTTGGTTTGGGCTGTTGGAGTTGGAGCGATTGTTTAAATGCCAGAATGGAATTGATTGCGAACATTACGAGACGGGCTGGAAAGTTGGGTGAACAGTTTTGCCTTATTTGGCACAGGGATATCATAGACAACGATTCATTTCACATTTCGAAATCGTGGGTCAGAAGCAAGTAGCAGAATTGCAAATGCTATAAACCCAACTGAACATGATATTTGAACCCACAACATCAGTCACCACCTCCAACTTGTGAATAATCAAAATTATATGAACAATCCATGCCTTGTTATGTCCAAGTACTTGCCAATCACAAGCATATACTCGGCTTCTCACTTCCCCCACGGAAGAAGAAGGATGAAATAAACCACCAAAACCCATGCGCAGTTTGTTTTGAAGAGAGCCATAACTTTGGAATGTGTGATTTATTGAGTTCTTGAGTTGCCAAAGTTCGGCTAAATTATCTACTTGGAGATTTGGCTCACAGAATATGGTGCATTTCTCAGAAAGGCTCCTTGAAAGTTCTTTTCATGATATTATTTGAAGATAGCTAGACAATCCAATTTGCAAGTCAAATGAGTGTGTGTCTGTACAAATATTCACTTATCGACGATTAAAAACAAGATCAGCTAGTCTGGAATAACGAATTCAGTAATAAAGCCTTGGGACGAGTAAGATTCAAAACCTCAAGTTATTCCATATTCCAACTAATAATTTATCTGTGTAGAGATTTACAACCATCTCCACCATTCAAATATGGGAAGCAACTTAATCCCACACGATGAATCTGCGAATCACCAAAAAGTTACAATCTAAGTGCAGCCATGAAATATCTTAATCACACAACCCCTATCATTTATTAATCACCCACCCACCCTTTGACTCTTATCCATCTCAAAAAGGGCTATATAAAGAATCTTCATCCATCCTAGTGTCCACCAATTCCTACTTCAAACGCACACAATTTCCAAACACAAAGGCACGCAGACTGAATACAACAACAAAAACAACCATAATAGCCATCAAAATGAACTTCCTCACCACCACCAACTTCCTTCTTGCCTTCCTTTTCAGACTCTCACTCACCCAACCAATAAATAACGAAGTCACAAACCCTCTTCTCCCCAGCCGCGAAGTCAACCAATCTTCTACACATGACACCACACATGTCAACCCACTCAACGTCACTGAGCGGGTGGTTGTGGCGGCAGGAGCGGCGAGCGTAGCACTTGCAGCAGGATCATCTAGGCACTTGCAGCAGGATCATCTAGGCACTCTTCAGCAACAAGCACCCAACACAGTATCGGAGCCATTATCTTGAGTGCTCTTGTGGTAGGATTGTTGATTTAGTACCAATGAGGACCGGTATATCAAGTGCAACCAGAGTTTCTGTACGAACAGCAAATTTACTTGAGGGGAATGGCATTTTAACTACATCCTGGAAATGGCGGGGCGACGTTCTAACCGGGCTTAGAACATGACAAGTTTTTGTTGGATGGAAAGTAGTGGATGATCCTGAGATGTTTCAAATTCATAACATTACCTATGTTGATAGAGAAATTTTACACACTATTGACTTCTTTCTATTAGGGGTATCCTGAGAAGAGCCATCTATTTTCATATCTGTGAAGAAAACGAACCACATATTAAGAAACGAAACCCCAACGCCTAATCCAAACCAACCTAAAACCCTGGATAAAAACTGACAATTACCACCTTGTGAATGTTTAAAAGTTCAGATTGGACTCACATACAGCTAGCAAAGTTCTATATAAACACCCCTTAGCATCTTGCCGTTTCCAACCTCAACTGACACTTCCATTTCCACATCAACCACCCCAAGAAAAAAACAAAAACGAACAATCAAACCTAGAAAAAAGCCACCATGAAGTCACCAACAGCCTTCATCACTCTTCTCCTCGCCTTCCTCATCAGCCTCTCACTCAGTCAACCAATCACCCCCCAATCCGCCGACGTCATAGAAGCCCCTACTCTCCGAAACGCATAAATCCTGAGGCCCAATGAGACTGAACGCATAAGAGGTGCGGGTGTAAAAGTATCTGCCTCGTCGGGATCAAAAACCCAACAACAAAATGTTGCAGCCATTCTCGTGTGCGGAATCTTGGTTGGATTATCGGTTTAACACTTGTTCCAACCTACTAAGCCGAAATGGCACGTTGTTTTAATCTTGGATTCGGGACTGGGGGTTTGGGTAGTGGAGACATTCGGCGAGAGCAGTTCTTTCGATATTTTGTATTCTAAACGGGCTTAGAACGGAGTAGTGTCTTTGTATTGGCATTTATCTTACGCCATCGATGATTTACCGTTAGAGCAATACTAAGTAAATCGCAAATAATAATCGTTCATATCTTTAAAAATGAAAATATACCTCCAATACACTCATATCCCTATTCCTAAACTTTACGTGGAATGAGATATTGTATTTTCCCGTGCATACGTGATTTTGTATCGTTATCTTCGTATCCTTACTACCTACGCTTCGTAAAACAACTTAACCAAAAATGAATAAAATCAACACTACACTCCATCCCTCAACCTCTTTACAATACCAAACATAACCTTCGGAATTCCTCATTACACACCTGTCAATCTACGCATCCAGTAAGCTTCACATTCACAATACCGTATACAAACCATTCAACCAACACAATCACATACTCTAATCATAACCTCCCTTTCCCCCTTCCCCCTTCCCCTCCCATCAAATCACAACCACAAGCCCAAAGTCTCAGAAAAAGACTAACAACAACCACGATGACTCCCAAAGCAAACTCTATACCCGCGCCTACCCCCGCTCCCCATCAAAGAGAAGCTTAATAGACGCCCATTACTATCGTTCTGCCCTCCAACTTCTCCTCCGTTCACACACACACACACAAGTCCAGCGCTAAAACCCAAAAAACACAAAACATCTCCAGACCAACCATCTCCAAAATGAAATTCCAAAGCCATCTTACCCTCATCCTCACACTCCTCACCACCCTCTCATACAGTCACCCAACAAACTCCCAACTCGGTCCCGACGCTATCGAGGAAGCACCCCCACTCCAAGACACAGAGATCCTCAAACCAAACGAGACTGCACGGAAAGGTGGTAAAGGTAGTAGCGGTGGAGTAGTATTAGCGGCGGGATCGAGTAATCAGCAATACAGTAGCGTAGGCGTTGTCTTGGGTGGGATTCTGGTTGGATTGCTGATATGATACATGTGAAAACACTGCTGGGAAAGTTAAGGACCTCAGCTCACGATCGTTTTTTTGGGGGGCGAGC